GGCTTATGTGAATTTCATATACCTACTTACAAGGTTTTGTAGCTGAAAACAAATGTAATTACAATCAGTTTAACTTATTCTGCCGACGTGCTACGAAAAAAGACAAAGCCAATCGTCTCACGTCATTTATTTTGTCAACAACAATATAAATCAATACTTGTTTTAATCCACTAGAAGCTTTGCTATATTCAAATAGAAATGACTTCTTACGAGAACAAATTTTGATCGAACATGGACCCATACTTTTTTATTTAATACTCGACTCAGGTATTATCCCCCTAACCCATAGACTTTTGAGGCTGGAAATAAGAAATTATATTCATGGTGTAAAAATAATATTATTACAAAAAAAAAAATTTAGTTAAATAACGAATCCTATCAATTTGTGTGCCTTATAAGATCATGTGTTACCAGCTGAAAAAGCTGAGGACCACTATGCCTTTTTTCATCAACCACCTTATCTTTTATTTATTCTTTCAACCTCTCTGTTACACCAAAAGGAAATCTTCAAATATAAATTTATACATTTTTCAATTTTGTTTTGTATGCAAGAAAAAAATTATTAGAAACTTATAATAATTGGATGATCTTACTCTATATTTTAACATTACAAAAACTAAAAAGGTGATAAACAAAAGACTGGAAATATTATAAATTTATAGCACGAATTCGTATACATCATTAGCTATAGTGAGTCAGATTTGGTGTCCTAACATCGATTTGTTTTCATAATTTACTATATCATTTTAATGCAATGAACATATTTTACATCTACAATAATTTAGTAACAACTATATCAAATTAATCTATTATATGGGGAAAGTTTAGACCAAAATTTAGATATAATTTTATAGATTAAATTAGCCTATTATCTGGGGAAAATTTAGATACAAGTTTATAGAAACAAATAGTCTATTATATTGGGAAGATTTAGTTTATAATACAATAGACTAAACACTTGTGTTTGTATATAACAAATTTTAACACAAGTGTATTTTATTTTTGATTTTTGTACCGTCAAAAACTAACAAAGAACCAATTATAGACTGATTAACTGGTAGAAACAAATTAAACATTTGATTATATACCGATGGTCGAGCCATGTCTTTCTTTATTAGAGTAGTTAAATCGAAGACTTGGAAAATTAATAAGCTTCATTTGAACCATGGCACAAAGAAACTGTTGTATTGGATACATTAAAGTGAATAACAAAAAACGAGATACCAAGTTGATAAATAAAACTCTACTAATATATTAATCATTCGATAAAAAAAAAAAACTAAAAATATTTTCCACTATGAGTCTGCCGACTAAAAAGCCAGTGTACTGTGTTTACGCATTATGATAAAATATACAATTAATATATCATTGAAATAACTAGAAACAATTTTTATAAACTTTTAATAGTAACTAATTTAGAAATCACTGTAACCTTTTCCCCCACCAAAAAATTTGCTAAAACTAATTCGTTTTTGATTGTTTTCTCAAAAGAAAAAAAAACTAATTTATTTGTTGTTTATTTAC